TAAGCCTGTGGTCCTCTTCTCCTCGTGAGTCTTCAAGACGAATGAATACTCGTCCTTGCATTCCATTCCCGGTAGCTTGAATGGTTTGGCTGTCAGGGGATTTGAAGACGTTCAATCCTTCTATCTGGTCGATGTCGACGACCATTACGTCACCAGAACTATAGAGTAAGATAATGATAATCATCATCACCATCATCACTATCATCACTATCATCACTATCATCATCGTCATCATCTTCACTGTTATTTTCATCATTATCACCATCATCATCACTATCACCATTATCATCATCATCATCACTATCATCATCGTCATCATCATCTTCACTGTTATTTTCATCATCATCACCACCATCACCATCAGCAGAATTCATATGAACGACTCTTAAACGACTTCCCGCGCTTCGTGCAGCGTTTACTTGTGGTGTATCATCGACTGACTATTCTTACTGGTTCGCAATATTTCTTTTTTAGAACCAAAAGAATGTTGTATTCGAAAGATGTGATTATGTTTCTTCAAGCAAATTTTTCTCGGAAAAAAATTCCGAGCTCCAGTTTTTCTTTKATGTATATATTGTATTCACTCACCGTGGATGATCGTAGTAAATGTCATTCCCGTGTCCTGCATTGAAGCCCACTACAGGAAGACCTTTCGAGTTATAGTACCTGCCATAATCCTCTCTGTTGATAAAATACGATAAAAAATTATTCACGAATTTTGTTACTAAGTCAAGGCTTAATAAAGCAAATAGAGATTGGGTCGATGCTATTCCTCTCATATCCAACTGGATCTCATGGCACTTCTAATAATAATACCCACTATCCCTGTGTGCCATTCTCATGCATTGACCCTGCGCTTTGTATACAGACTGCTTAGCGGTGTAGATCCTTAACGCAATGGTGCACTCCCCTAACTTACTAAGAGATACTTACTAGCTCTCCTTAACCAGGCTCACTGGAGGTGAGCACAAAGCGTAAGGAAGGCCTCGGAGAGAAGCGCGAGGCGAGCGCAAGGAAAAACACGAGCTTTTTTATGAAATGGGAAAAGATTTAAAACACGATACCTTTTAGCAGGAACAGACCACTGGATGCCATTTTTAGGATAGTTGTACATGACGAAGGAGAACTCACCATTTGTTATGAGGACGGCCTGGAATGTGTTGTACTTTAAAATAAATCACAAAAAGGAATTACAATCAGTGTATCATTTGGAGTAACAGATATAGTATTATGTAAGGGGTTCGGATGCAGAATCCATGCGGAGACGACTCGAGTCACTTCTCTCACGCATGCGTGACAGCCCTCTAGAATGATTTTTGGGACACGTATCACGCTAATATAATAATAATAATAATAATAATAATAATAATAATAATAATGATAACTTTATTTCCTAAAAAACGAATTTCTAAAACTCAATGCTTTTTACAATAAAAAGCGAAAATTATAAAAGCAGAAAAAGAAAAGAAAATTAATGAAATATGTGTAATCCAATATAAATACATAACTAAAAAAGTAGATGGAAATAGCGCAAAACATGAATTTACATAAGTAGCATAATGCCATCTAGAGTAAAACTATATTATTGATAAACAAGTTTAAATAAATATGTCTTGAGCTTTGTTTTAAATATGTTGATGTTATCAGATAATTT